GTGGGTTCTTGGTGGGATTGTAGTTGTTTCTTGGGTTCTTGGTGGGTTCTGGTGGGTTCTTAGTGGGTTTTGTTGTGTTCTTGGTGGGTTCTGGTGGGGTTCTTGGTGGGGTTTTGGTGGGTTCTTGGTGGCATTGTAGTGGTTTCTTGGGTTCTTGGTGGGTTCTGATGGGTTCTGTTGGGTTCTTCTTGGTGGGTTCTTGGTGGGATTGTAGTGGTTTCTTGGGTTCTTGGTGGGTTCTGATGGGTTCTGTTGGGTTCTTCTTGGTGGGTTCTTGGTGGGATTGTAGTGGTTTCTTGGGTTCTTGGTGGGTTCTGATGGGTTCTGTTGGGTTCTTCTTGGTGGGTTCTTGGTGGGATTGTAGTGGTTTCTTGGGTTCTTGGTGGGTTCTGATGGGTTCTGTTGGGTTCTTCTTGGTGGGTTCTTGGTGGGATTGTAGTGGTTTCTTGGGTTCTTGGTGGGTTCTGATGGGTTCTGTTGGGTTCTTCTTGGTGGGTTCTTGGTGGGATTGTAGTGGTTTCTTGGGTTCTTGGTGGGTTCTGATGGGTTCTGTTGGGTTCTTCTTGGTGGGTTCTTGGTGGGATTGTAGTGGTTTCTTGGGTTCTTGGTGGGTTCTGATGGGTTCTGTTGGGTTCTTCTTGGTGGGTTCTTGGTGGGATTGTAGTGGTTTCTTGGGTTCTTGGTGGGTTCTGATGGGTTCTGTTGGGTTCTTCTTGGTGGGTTCTTGGTGGGATTGTAGTGGTTTCTTGGGTTCTTGGTGGGTTCTGATGGGTTCTGTTGGGTTCTTCTTGGTGGGTTCTTGGTGGGATTGTAGTGGTTTCTTGGGTTCTTGGTGGGTTCTGATGGGTTCTGTTGGGTTCTTCTTGGTGGGTTCTTGGTGGGATTGTAGTGGTTTCTTGGGTTCTTGGTGGGTTCTGATGGGTTCTGTTGGGTTCTTCTTGGTGGGTTCTTGGTGGGATTGTAGTGGTTTCTTGGGTTCTTGGTGGGTTCTGGTGGGTTCTGGTGGGTTCTTGGTGGGTTCTTGATGGAGTTTTGGTGGTTTGTTGAGTTCTTGGTGGGTTCTGGTGGGTTCTTGGTGGGTTCTCGAGTCCTTGGTGGGTTTTTTTCCCTCCTCAGATGTGGGAAGGTGACCTTCCAGCTGCCAGATGTTCCTGCAGAGGCAGAGGAAAGAACCTGTCACTTCCTGTGGAGGAGCAGCGCCCTGAAGGAGACTCTGAAGAAGCTCCAAGGTATGGGGAGGAGCTGGGGGAGGAGCCACCATAGGGAAGAGGTGGAGGAGAAACAGGGGGACACTTCCACCTTGGAGGTCCTTCCACCTTGGAGGAACTTCCACCTTGGAGGTCCTTCCATCTTGGGAGACACTTCCACCTTGGAGGTCCTTCCATCCTGAGGTGCTTCCATCTTGGAAGAGCTTCCATCTTGGAGGACCTTCCATCTTGGAGGTCCTTCCACCTTGGGGGACACTTCCTCCCTTGAGGTCTTTCCATCCTGAGGTGCTTCCATCTTGGAAGAGCTTCCATCTTGGAGGACCTTCCACCTTGGAAGACACTTCCACCTTGGAGGCCCTTCCATCTTGGAAGAGCTTCCATCTTGGAGGACCTTCCACCTTGGAGGTCCTTCCCCCTTGGAGGACACTTCCTCCCTTGAGGTCCTTCCATCCTGAGGTGCTTCCATCTTGGAAGAGCTTCCATCTTGGAGGACCTTCCACCTTGGAAGACACTTCCACCTTGGAGGCCCTTCCATCCTTGGGAGACAATTCCATCCTGAGGTGCTTCCATCTTGGAAGAGCTTCCATCTTGGAGGACCTTCCACCTTGGAAGACACTTCCACCTTGGAGGCCCTTCCATCCTTGGGAGACAATTCCATCCTGAGGTGCTTCCATCTTGGAAGAGCTTCCATCTTGGAGGACCTTCCACCTTGGAAGACACTTCCACCTTGGAGGCCCTTCCATCCTTGGGAGACAATTCCATCCTGAGGTGCTTCCATCTTGGAAGAGCTTCCATCTTGGAGGACCTTCCACCTTGGAAGACACTTCCACCTTGGAGGCCCTTCCATCCTTGGGAGACAATTCCATCCTGAGGTGCTTCCATCTTGGAAGAGCTTCCATCTTGGAGGACCTTCCACCTTGGAAGACACTTCCACCTTGGAGGCCCTTCCATCCTTGGGAGACAATTCCATCCTGAGGTGCTTCCATCTTGGAAGAGCTTCCATCTTGGAGGACCTTCCACCTTGGGAGGAGCTTCCACCTTGGGAGACACTTCCACCTTGGAGGCCCTTTTGCCCCTTGACCACCATCTTGCCTCCCTCTTTCCCCCTCCTCCATTTTCTAACCTCCCCTTTTTTCTCCTGCCTCCTCCCCCAGCCATGGTCACTTTGGACCCCAACACGGCCCATCGTGACCTCATCATCTCCGAGGACCTCAAGAGTGTCAGACATGGAGAAGGTCCCCGAGACCTCCCGGATAACCCGGAACGTTTCGATTATTGGCCTTTCGTTTTGGGCCACCAGGGCTTCCTGGGTGGTCGCCACAGTTGGGAGGTGGACGTGGGGGACACGGGGGACTGGGCCCTTGGGGTGGCCTTGGAGTCCATCCGTCGCAAGGGCCACCTCAGCCTCTGCCCCCAAAGTGGCATCTGGGGCTTGGAGAAGTGGGGGGGGCAAATCCGGGCTCTCACCAACCCCAAGGTCACCCCACTTCCCCTCAGGTGGGTCCCCAAGAAGGTCAAAGTCCACTTGGACCACCCTGGGGGGACGGTGGCTTTCCTGGATGCTGAGGACGGGGGGTTGATCTTTGTCTTCTCCAGGGTTTCTTTTGGTGGGGAGAAGGTTCATCCCTGGCTTTGGGTGGTGGGGTTCAGGTCCCACCTCAGGTTGTCCCCCTGAGGTTGGGTCAAGGTGGGTTGGGTCAAGGTGGTTGGGTCAAGGTGGTTGGATCAAGGTGGTTGGGTCAACGTGGGTGAGTCAACGTGGTTGGGTCAACGTGGTTGGGTCAACGTGGTTGGGTCAACGTGGTTGGGTCAACGTGGTTGGGTCAACGTGGTTGGGTCAACGTGGTTGGGTCAACGTGGTTGGGTCAACGTGGTTGGGTCAACGTGGTTGGGTCAACGTGGTTGGGTCAACGTGGTTGGGTCAACGTGGTTGGGTCAACGTGGTTGGGTCAACGTGGTTGGGTCAACGTGGTTGGGTCAACGTGGTTGGGTCAACGTGGTTGGGTCAACGTGGTTGGGTCAACGTGGTTGGGTCAACGTGGTTGGGTCAACGTGGTTGGGTCAACGTGGTTGGGTCAACGTGGTTGGGTCAACGTGGTTGGGTCAACGTGGTTGGGTCAACGTGGTTGGGTCAACGTGGTTGGGTCAACGTGGTTGGGTCAACGTGGTTGGGTCAACGTGGTTGGGTCAACGTGGTTGGGTCAACGTGGTTGGGTCAACGTGGTTGGGTCAACGTGGTTGGGTCAACGTGGTTGGGTCAACGTGGTTGGGTCAACGTGGTTGGGTCAACGTGGTTGGGTCAACGTGGTTGGGTCAACGTGGTTGGGTCAACGTGGTTGGGTCAACGTGGTTGGGTCAACGTGGTTGGGTCAACGTGGTTGGGTCAACGTGGTTGGGCCAACGTGGTTGGGTCAACATGTCCTTCTCCAACCTCCTGAGATGGTTCCTCCCCTCGTGGTGCCAACAGGGAGGAGGATGTTGGTTTTGGAGAGGTTCTTCTTCTTCTCCAGGAGGTGGTGGAGACCTTGAGGTGGTGGGGAAACTGAGGCACGAAAGGGCCTTTTTGGGGGGGGGGAAGATGGGAAAAATGGGAAATTTGGGGCAAAAATATTCCAAGGAGAAGAAGAAGCCACCTTGGGTTGGTCACCTCCAAACTGTGGGACCAGCTTTTTGGTTTTGGTGGCCACTTCAGAGGGGACAAAGCTCCTGAACCTCCAAAAAAACCATGGACCTTTGGTCCTTCAGGGATGTCAATGATTCATAATAATTAAAAATCATTCATACTAATTAAAAATAAATCCATCATTTGCTCCCTTTTTGTGTCTTTCCCTCTGGATTGGGACAATCGAGGTGGTTTTCAAGTCACCTGCAAGAAGCTTGAGGAGCTCGTTGGGTCCAACCAACCCCCAACCGAGGTTTATTTAACCCAAACTTCATTTTTACCCCCCCAAAAAAACCCCCCTGAGATCCAGAAGCTACAAAAGAACCAGAGAAGAACCTGCTGAGCTGGAGAAGTGTTTTTACTTCCTCTCAAAGGCAGAAGCTGGTGGAGATGCTGGTGGGACCCCAGAGCCACCTCCACTTGGGAAGGAGCATTTGGGGCCACGTTCAACCCTTGTGGGGGGTCATCAAGGGTGGTGGGTTGGGTTGATCAATGGGTTGGGTTGACCAAGGGGTTGGGGGTTGATCAAGGGGTTGACCAAAGGGTTGGGTTGACCAAGGGGTTGGGTTGACCCATGGGTTGGGGGTTGACCCATAGTTTGGGGGTTGACCAAGGGGTTGGGGGTTGACCAGTGGGGTTGGGTGTTGACCAATGGGGTTGGGGGTTGACCAAGGGGTTGGGGGTTGACCCATGGGTTGGGTTGACCAAGGGGCTGGGGGTTGACCAAGGGGTTGGGGGTTGACCAAAGGGTTGAGTTGACCAAGGGGTTGGGTTGACCAAGGGGTTGGGGGTTGACCAAAGGGTTGGGTTGACCAAGGGGCTGGGGGTTGACCAAGGGGTTGGGGGTTGACCAAGGGGTTGAGGGTTGACCCATGGCCAACTAGGAGTTGAAGTTGACCCCTCCAAGGGTTGGGGGTGGTGGGGACGTGGGTGGGAAGATCTTCAGGGACACAAGGTGACCTGGGCCCCCTCGTTCCACACCAGGAACCAGGGACGAACCTTCTCCCCTTGGAACGAAGCTGGTGGGAAGGAGAACATCAAGACCTTCTTGTCAGCATCAAAAAAAGCCACCAAGCCTTTCTGGTAGTCCAAGGTGACCCTGAGTCTCCTGGGGACCTGGAGGTGGGACAAAGGGACAGTCTGGAAGGAGGTGACGGCCCAAAACTGACCCTCACAGAGACCCAGGGACCAAAGCTCCATCTCAGGGGGGGTTGTGGTGGCTTCTTCCATCCTCTTCGAGGTCTCCTGGGCCACCCCCAGGGCCCAGGAGCCTTCAGGGGTCACCTCCACCTCCCAGCAGCACCTCCCCGAGGTGATGCCCTGATGGGCCAACACGTAGGGTTGGGTGGCCCATCCTGGGTGGTCAAATGGGGCTTCTTGGGCTTCTTCCCACCTCAAACTCCTCCCGTCGGTCGAGACCAGGAGCTGGGGATGAGCTGTGGTGGGATCCAGGGTCACCTGGACTGGGGGGAGCAGAAGGTGGAGGGTCAAGAAGAGTCTCCTGGGGTCCTTCTAGGGGGGGTTGACCAAGGGGTTGACCAAAGGGTTGGGTTGACCCCATGGGTTGGGTTGACCAAGGGGTTGGGGGTTGACCAAAGGTTTGGGTTGACCAAGGGGTTGGATTGACCCATGGGTTGGGTTGACCAAGGGGTTGGGGGTTGACCAAAGGTTTGGGTTGACCAAGGGGTTGGATTGACCCATGGGTTGGGTTGACCAAGGGGTTGGGGGTTGACCAAAGGTTTGGGTTGACCAAGGGGTTGGGGGTTGACCAAAGGGTTGGGTTGACCAAGGGGCTGGGGGTTGACCAAGGGGTTGGGGGTTGACCAAGGGGTTGAGGGTTGACCCATGGCCAACTAGGAGTTGAAGTTGACCCCTCCAAGGGTTGGGGGTGGTGGGGACGTGGGTGGGAAGATCTTCAGGGACACAAGGTGACCTGGGCCCCCTCGTTCCACACCAGGAACCAGGGACGAACCTTCTCCCCTTGGAACGAAGCTGGTGGGAAGGAGAACATCAAGACCTTCTTGTCAGCATCAAAAAAAGCCACCAAGCCTTTCTGGTAGTCCAAGGTGACCCTGAGTCTCCTGGGGACCTGGAGGTGGGACAAAGGGACAGTCTGGAAGGAGGTGACGGCCCAAAACTGACCCTCACAGAGACCCAGGGACCAAAGCTCCATCTCAGGGGGGGTTGTGGTGGCTTCTTCCATCCTCTTCGAGGTCTCCTGGGCCACCCCCAGGGCCCAGGAGCCTTCAGGGGTCACCTCCACCTCCCAGCAGCACCTCCCCGAGGTGATGCCCTGATGGGCCAACACGTAGGGTTGGGTGGCCCATCCTGGGTGGTCAAATGGGGCTTCTTGGGCTTCTTCCCACCTCAAACTCCTCCCGTCGGCCGAGACCAGGAGCTGGGGATGAGCTGTGGTGGGATCCAGGGTCACCTGGACTGGGGGGAGCAGAAGGTGGAGGGTCAAGAAGAGTCTCCTGGGGTCCTTCTAGGGGGGGTTGACCAAGGGGTTGACCAAAGGGTTGGGTTGACCCCATGGGTTGGGTTGACCAAGGGGTTGGGGGTTGACCAAAGGTTTGGGTTGACCAAGGGGTTGGATTGACCCATGGGTTGGGTTGACCAAGGGGTTGGGGGTTGACCAAAGGTTTGGGTTGACCAAGGGGTTGGATTGACCCATGGGTTGGGTTGACCAAGGGGTTGGGGGTTGACCAAAGGTTTGGGTTGACCAAGGGGTTGGGGGTTGACCAAAGGGTTGGGTTGACCAAGGGGCTGGGGGTTGACCAAGGGGTTGGGGGTTGACCAAGGGGTTGAGGGTTGACCCATGGCCAACTAGGAGTTGAAGTTGACCCCTCCAAGGGTTGGGGGTGGTGGGGACGTGGGTGGGAAGATCTTCAGGGACACAAGGTGACCTGGGCCCCCTCGTTCCACACCAGGAACCAGGGACGAACCTTCTCCCCTTGGAACGAAGCTGGTGGGAAGGAGAACATCAAGACCTTCTTGTCAGCATCAAAAAAAGCCACCAAGCCTTTCTGGTAGTCCAAGGTGACCCTGAGTCTCCTGGGGACCTGGAGGTGGGACAAAGGGACAGTCTGGAAGGAGGTGACGGCCCAAAACTGACCCTCACAGAGACCCAGGGACCAAAGCTCCATCTCAGGGGGGGTTGTGGTGGCTTCTTCCATCCTCTTCGAGGTCTCCTGGGCCACCCCCAGGGCCCAGGAGCCTTCAGGGGTCACCTCCACCTCCCAGCAGCACCTCCCCGAGGTGATGCCCTGATGGGCCAACACGTAGGGTTGGGTGGCCCATCCTGGGTGGTCAAATGGGGCTTCTTGGGCTTCTTCCCACCTCAAACTCCTCCCGTCGGCCGAGACCAGGAGCTGGGGATGAGCTGTGGTGGGATCCAGGGTCACCTGGACTGGGGGGAGCAGAAGGTGGAGGGTCAAGAAGAGTCTCCTGGGGTCCTTCTAGGGGGGGTTGACCAAGGGGTTGACCAAAGGGTTGGGTTGACCCCATGGGTTGGGTTGACCAAGGGGTTGGGGGTTGACCAAAGGTTTGGGTTGACCAAGGGGTTGGATTGACCCATGGGTTGGGTTGACCAAGGGGTTGGGGGTTGACCAAAGGTTTGGGTTGACCAAGGGGTTGGATTGACCCATGGGTTGGGTTGACCAAGGGGTTGGGGGTTGACCAAAGGTTTGGGTTGACCAAGGGGTTGGGGGTTGACCAAAGGGTTGGGTTGACCAAGGGGCTGGGGGTTGACCAAGGGGTTGGGGGTTGACCAAGGGGTTGAGGGTTGACCCATGGCCAACTAGGAGTTGAAGTTGACCCCTCCAAGGGTTGGGGGTGGTGGGGACGTGGGTGGGAAGATCTTCAGGGACACAAGGTGACCTGGGCCCCCTCGTTCCACACCAGGAACCAGGGACGAACCTTCTCCCCTTGGAACGAAGCTGGTGGGAAGGAGAACATCAAGACCTTCTTGTCAGCATCAAAAAAAGCCACCAAGCCTTTCTGGTAGTCCAAGGTGACCCTGAGTCTCCTGGGGACCTGGAGGTGGGACAAAGGGACAGTCTGGAAGGAGGTGACGGCCCAAAACTGACCCTCACAGAGACCCAGGGACCAAAGCTCCATCTCAGGGGGGGTTGTGGTGGCTTCTTCCATCCTCTTCGAGGTCTCCTGGGCCACCCCCAGGGCCCAGGAGCCTTCAGGGGTCACCTCCACCTCCCAGCAGCACCTCCCCGAGGTGATGCCCTGATGGGCCAACACGTAGGGTTGGGTGGCCCATCCTGGGTGGTCAAATGGGGCTTCTTGGGCTTCTTCCCACCTCAAACTCCTCCCGTCGGCCGAGACCAGGAGCTGGGGATGAGCTGTGGTGGGATCCAGGGTCACCTGGACTGGGGGGAGCAGAAGGTGGAGGGTCAAGAAGAGTCTCCTGGGGTCCTTCTAGGGGGGGTTGACCAAGGGGTTGACCAAAGGGTTGGGTTGACCCCATGGGTTGGGTTGACCAAGGGGTTGGGGGTTGACCAAAGGTTTGGGTTGACCAAGGGGTTGGATTGACCCATGGGTTGGGTTGACCAAGGGGTTGGGGGTTGACCAAAGGTTTGGGTTGACCAAGGGGTTGGATTGACCCATGGGTTGGGTTGACCAAGGGGTTGGGGGTTGACCAAAGGTTTGGGTTGACCGGGAACCTCCCACGACCTCCAGGGCCCCTCCACCACCTTCAGGGACCCTCCACTACCTCCAGGGCCCTCCCACCACCTCCAGGGACCCAGAACCACCTCCAGGAACCCCCCACCCCCCCCAGGAACCCCCCCCACCCCACCGG